AGCTGATTTAGGGGCTTTCAACAGCTTCTTGTTGTGTAAAAAAGGGTTTTGGAATTAGAGGAAAAAGAATGATGAGAGAGAGAAAGAACCTGAGGCAACCTCGCAGGGCTTCAATGGAAATGGAAGATGAAGCATCGCTACCATTGTTGCTACTGTGAACGATGATGGCATTGAGATCCTGTAGTGGATTTCGAGGGCTTTGCCCTTTAGTTTTTTCTTGTTCATTGTTGCCAGTGGTGGTGCCGGAGATGAAGCTGAGTTTGAAACCAAAATAGCACTCAGCATATCTGAAACCAAACCAAATGATTTGAAAATCTAATGGTGGGAAAAAGTTGGGTTTGCTAGGATTAGGTTAAAAAGGGGTGGGATTATTTGTTGCAAGCAGCAGGGGTGGGAATATTTTGGGGTGGGTTTGTTTTCTTTTGCTTGGGAGTGGGTTTTTTTTTTACATGCATGTTTTCGACCCTCGGTTGCCCTCGGATTGTTGGATATTAGGGAGGGTTCGGCTTTGGATGAACCAATGCATAGGCATAGTTAGGTTGATGGGTTTGTGGTGAAGGAGGATGAGGCTACATGAGAGAGGGATGGTAGAAAAGAGGGTGACGACGAGAGAGAGGGGATGGTAGACAATGGAATTAATGAAAAAGAGGAGAGGTATTTTTGTTTAAAAAAATTATAATTTTGTGTCCCACAGGGTGGAATGAGTAATTCCAGGGGGAAGAGGTGGAACGAAAATTCAGCCAAAACTCATTACGTGGAACAGCGCGTTCCGCCTGTTTTTTGGCGCACCAAACGTGGGACGGAATGCCTTGTCCCATTGCGTTCCGTCCCGTCCCACGTACCAAACAGTACCTTTATATAGGTCGGGGGATGTGCCTATAAAGTCTTTGGGGCTTTAAGTTTTGGACTGTCCTAATTGGTAGATTAGTTGTATGAGTGGATGGAAAGATATCTTCTCTGAATCTTCCACAAAGGCTATCAAATTAAGTGATCTAGACCTTTCAAATTTCATCCAACGGCCCACTTGTTTTGACATCTTAGAAACTGTAATAATTTTTTGCCGTTGGGTAAAATTTAAAAGGTCTAGATCATTTGATCCGGTGGTTTTTATGGAAGATATCCGGAGATGATCTCTTTCCTGAGTGGACCTTGTTGTAGGTAACTCTCTATTATTCAGCTGACACGTGTGGCAAAAGTAACCTTTGAACAGATTTACCTGCTTGGTTTTCCACGTCGAAAACCTATCGAGCATAACACTCGTCTTTGAGAGCAGTTCCAGCCTTGTCAATAGGCCGGGGGACAGGGGAGAAGAAAATGCCTGAGGGCCTATCAAGTTGCTCCAGCCATGAGGAGCCCGAGCTCGTGGAGAAGGCCCGAGCAGGGGGCCTGTCAATTTGTGACAGCCCCGGAGCCCGAGCTACAAGCCCATTTTTTATTTTTTTTCTGTCAGGCGCGTGCACCCCACTCGCGCGTGGGGGCGCGTCGCCCGACAGCTTTTCAGAAAAAACAGTTAACTTTTCAGCCTTTCACAATTACCGTTGGGAAGCCACGTGGCTTCCCACGGTCCGTTCGATCTCAACGGCTCCTTCATTTGGACCGTTGGATCTCAATGGTAAAAAAAATTAAAAAAATCTGATTTAATATCAACCGTTCGATCTGAGATCAACGGTCGATATTAATATGCTTTATAAATAAAGAAAAAATAGTTTTAAAATTAAGAAAAGTTACCGTTGTGACACGTGGCACAATCTGGAGTGTTGGAATTCAAATTTTTTTTAAATCCAACGGCAGAAATTAATTATTGGAAAAAAAAATTTAAAAAAATGGAAAAAATCCAAAAAAATTGTAAAAAATCGGAATAAACATATTTAAATCCAATGATGACATTGGATAAAAATCTTATCGAAATCCATCGCTAAATAATTGTTTTTTTTATAAAATGACACGTGGCGCAACGAGAATGATTTAAAAAATCTTATCCGAAATTACAAATAATTTTATTTTGTATTATTTAAACAAACAAAAAAAACTAATATTTTATTGCCTATTGCCAGGGGGAGGGCTCCAAGGGTGGAGATGCAAATGGCAATTATTGTTCATTAATGGCAGTTACTATTCATTAAAGGCAGTTACTGTTCAAAAGGGTGGATTCAATAGTGGATTGCCAGGGGGAAATGCTCCATGGGTGGAGTTGCTCTGAGTGATTGGAAAGTAACTAGACCGAGCACTAGGTTTGACAAAGGTACCCTTGTAGGCTTTCCTTCGATAGGTGATATGATTTTTACTACTTGCAAAAAATAGAAATAAAAATACTTAAAATATATGTAAAAGTATAAGGTAATTATAGTAAAAATGCTCGTGCAAGATAGTTCTCCATAAGAATTATTTAAAATAATTTATGTTGAAACAAAATTTTAATTAATTATTTAAAACAAAATTTAGAAAAGGTAGATTTTAGAATTTAAAATAATAAAAATGAATTTTAATAAAAACAATTAAAGAAATTGGTAAGAAAATAATTTTAAGAAACCAAATTGAAAACATGCAGTTGTGAGAAAACCTTGGTAAAAGGACATTAGAGTTCCGGTCACTTTAACAATCTTATGTATTTTTACCAATTACTTATGAATTACACATGCAATTTTGAATGTTAGGTTTTCCTTATGCATATTCTTCTCGTGATATTCAATTAATATAAAAAATGCAATCCGTCTGTGATATTCAGATCAAATATGAACATGCAAGACTCATTAAGTTTTTTTAAAAACCTTGTGAAAAACCACGCAATCCTTAAGAGCGTGATATTCACCTTAAATGAAATTACAATTATCAACCACAAGAGCCCTACTCAATCGTCCGGTGATATGTTGATCGAATTGCATTAAACTGCTTATCTAAACATCCTTATAGTTGCGAAGCATTAAGACAAATAGATAGTTTCAAACACTAATTCAAAGCAGGCATGCATAATATCATAAGCAATTAAATAAAGACTATATATTCATGTTAAGGCTTGTGGCATTACCCTAGAAAAAGAGATTAGTTACGCATATTCATAATAAAAAACAAAATATTATCAATTAATATAAAAAATGCAATCCATCTGTGATATTCAGATCAAATATGAACATGCATGACTCATTAAGTTTTTTTTAAAAACCTTTTGAAAAACCACGCAACCCTTAAGAGCGTGATATTCACCTTAAATGAAATTACAATTATCAACCACAAGAGCCCCACTCAATCCTCCGGTGATATTCTGACTGAATTGCATTAAATTGCTTATCTAAACATCCTAATAGTTGCGAAGCATTAAGACAAATAGATAGTTTCAAACACTAATTCAAAGCAGGCATGCATAATATCATAAGCAATTAAATAAAGACTATATATTCATGCTAAAGCTTGTGGCATTGCCCTAGAAAAAAAGATTAGTTACGCATATTCATAATAAAAAAACAAAATATTATCAAAAGCATGGATATAAAATACCTTGTAAAATAAAGTTGAATTGTGAAAAGCTCTCTAAGCCAAGTTTTCTAAAGTAGTGCGTTAAGAACCCTAATGGATGAATATGCCTTATTTATAATAGAAAAATCCTTCCTAGAATATGTCTTAAAATGAAACTAGGAAACAAAATAAGTTAAGATAAATAGGAAACATAATCCTACACTAATGTGGAGAATCTGCCGCTCCAAAGATTCTCCACGTTCAAGGCCTTAGATACCTTCAAAACAGGCACATGGTGACTCATTTTAAAGTTTGAGATGTCTTGAACATATTTGTAGAATGACACATCGCCAAAAGCCACCATCTTGGACGACAAAAAGCCTAAATAAGCCCAAAATGTCACATTGATGGCTTCGCACACTGATCCTTTATATATAGGAATAAGGCAACCTGAGTTTGATACTTATAACACTACTGCTATATTAATATGAGTTCAATAACCATGATAATCATACTTTGGATTTGTAGGTCTTTTACAGCCCACTATAGGAACATGTTTCCTATATAAGCTCAATACATCAGTGTCACACTTACTTTTTCCGACTTATTGTAGAAAGACCTTAATGACATGATCTAATAGTGCACGCTTTGTTAATTCAAAAACTTCATTTAACAGATTTTTAACTCGTAGACCAATTGTAAACTAAGGTGAAAATACATAGTTCAATTCCATAGTTTACTATATCATTGAAAAGGAAAGAAGAAATACTTTTTTTAGGGCAAATGAAAAAAAGAAAAGAAAAGGAAAACTAATAAAAAAGAGTTTGAAAGCTTTAAGTTTTAATAATAAGGACAAAATAAATGGTAAAGTGAATAGTACCATGATTGATTTTTTAGTGTAAAAATATGATTTTTCGTTAAAATAAACAATACCGGAAGTTTTTCGTTAAAGTTCCAAAAAAAAAGGTACTAAATTGGAAAAAGAGCTTTTTTGGATGAAAATTAGGGATGGTTTGGGAGTGAGGTGCTTAAAAAAAATGCACCCATGAAAAAAAGCTATGAGGGTTTTAGGTGTTTGGTAAACCGAAAAAAAAGCTTATTTTGGAAGCTGCTGTGAGAATAAGCTGAAATCAAATGAAAAAGCTGAAATTGCTATTTGCAGTTTTGAAAAGCTGATTTTTTTTCAAAGCACACAGAGCTACAGTGCTCCTTTAATGAAATGACCAGCTATCAAACTGTTTTTTTTTCCAAAAGCCCTTTTACAAAAAAGTTTACCAAACACTCTGCTGATTTATTTGACAACCGCTTATTCTCACAGCAGTTTTTTTCAAAGCACAGCAATACCAAATCAGCCCTTAGACGTAGTCACGACGTCCAAACAAAATCTGGAAAGGACGGTAGGGATTCAAAGTGTCTATTATCCGACGGATAAACATGGTTATGTCATTTATGTAGATAGGCTTCCAAATGAGGGGTAACATTGTAAACGCACACTAAGTTACCGTTGGAACCCCAAACGTCCACATTTAGATGGCCAAACCCCCTCAATTCCCAAATTTGAAAATATTTTCTCACCTCTGTAATTCTCATCTCTCATCTCTCTCTCCCTCCGACGCTATTCTACGAAGCCACTTGAAATTCCACTCTCACTTTTTCTTTCAGTTCGTCTGTTTTCACTGGTAATTACTTCCTCGTCCTTTAATTTCCGATTTCTTGTCATTAATTTGGGTTTAATTAGGGTTCAATTGAAACTAATTTAGGGTTTCTGTAATCGTATTGGGTTCTAATTAGGGTTCATTTTATATATGAATTCAGTCGAGTCTTTCTTCATTTATCAATGTTTAACTGTTAAAAACCCCCAATGCTGGGGGCGAATGCCCAATCCTGAGTTAGGGAGGATTTTAGGGATTCGGTGGTGATTGGTAACTGAATTGGCAGTTGAATACTATGGACAAGGTAACCCAGAAATGTATTTTTGTTTTGGGTCATGGGGGTATGGATTTCTTGTTCTTGGGTGTCTAATTCTTGAGTCTTTTGTAAAAATCTTGTAGATTAATTTCGGGTAATGTTTCATTTTCAAGCCCTAATTTTGGCCATGTTATAATCAGTGGTCATAATTTCATCATGCACGTTGAATTGTCTGTGAGAAGGGATATGCTAAACAGGTGTTTCTGCATTGTATCTTTTCTCTTCGGTTGCGTATTCTGAATTATATCTAATGCTTACTTTCCTTTATTTTTATTCTCTTTTCGGATTGTTTCTACGGTTAGCAGAAGATTAAACTGAATTGGCTGCAAAAAAAAAAAAAAAAAAAAAAGCGGCAATGGCATCAACACTCGGTGCTTTGTTTCAAGATCAGAATCTGAGTGTTCACTCTAAGGGTAATTATCGAGTCTAGTTATGCTTTTAGTGTCTGAAATTCTTGCTGGGCTGTTTTAATTTAACCCTTGTAATATGTATGGCAGGAGCTTCTCTTGTGGGGAAGGGTGATGCCTTGAAAACAAAAAAGAAAGGCGGGCTTGGTGGAAGGAAACCGCTTGGTGATTTATCGAATTCAGGGAAGCCTGCTGCTCTGACTCAGGCATCAAAAAAGCAGTCTTCCAAGGTAATCATTTGTGGTGATGCAAGCAATAACAAAGGCTTGTCTAAAGCCTCAGATAAAGTTCAGACCAGTACCAGGAACGCGTTACGTGATATTTCAAACACACGGGATGCACCGGTGAAGAACAACACAAAGCAGAGGGTTATGCCAAAGCAGCCTGTTTGTCCTGATAATATTGCAGAGGAAGGGTTTCTGCACAATCATCAAGAGTGCATGAAGGCACAGGACATGGATGAGATTCATCAGTTTCGTCAGTTTCTGATGGCACTTGGAGTACATAGTGGTATTACATCTTTTAAAAAATAGATGAGTTTCTTGAAATTGGTTATTTTCCTGGGCATTTCAACTTATCAGATCATTCATTTTTTTTGTTCAGATTCTTCCGAGAAGCTTACATCTTCATGTGCATCTTCACAGCCAAGTAAATCTGAGGTAAGTTTTGCATTTCATTGCCAAGAAGATTACTTTTTTTCTGCATTTACTCTTGTTGGGTTGGACTTTTCTTAACCCCTTATGTTTTTTTTTGTTTCAGCCCCAGAGTCCCTCGAAGTATATGGGTTTGGAAGAGATACCTGAGGATCGAAACCCCTGGCAGTCTGACAATCTCGACTCTCCACCTCCTTGCAAGTCTCCAAAGTCACCATATGGCTATACTGATTCCCTTTTGATTTGGGAGGACTGTGACTTCAAGTTGACGAACACACCATAATTTCCACCGGATCGATTCCCCTTCAATCTAAATGTGACATACTCACATGCGATGGAGCATCAATTCAACTTGAAATTGATGGTAGTCACAGTAGTTCTAGATGGTTTAGTTTTTGTTGAATGAAGATTCTTGGTTTGTTGATTGAAGATGCTCTTCCTTGATGCAAAAACTCTATGGTCCTCATCATGTGGTTGTCTGGTTTGTTCAATGCACATTATATAGATACGACTGACTGGTCGCTAGCTATTGATTTTGTATCTGGTTGTTTGGTTACGAAAGTAGGAATGAAAATTTTGAATATTGTAGCTTTAATTCAAAGCCTCTGTCTTGATAGGATTTTCCGAATATCCGTGAATGGAGTTCAACCTTGTAGGAACAAACACTGCTGACTGCCTGAAGGCATGAATCAAAACATGCACATTTTGTTGAGAAAAACCTGTATTCACGTCGCGATCGATGTGATCCTTGCATTCAGTCAGTCAGCAGTGTTTATCCCTACAAAATATTTGATCCTGGTTCTTTTCTTGTTTCTTACCACAGAGGCTTTGAATTAAAGCTACACTATTAAAAAACAAACCATGCGAAGCATGCATTGACGATACAACAACAACAACAACAAAGCCTTTTCCCACCAAGTGGGGTCGGCTATATGAATCCTAGAATGCCATTGCGCTCGGTTTTGTGTCATGTCCTCCGTTAGATCCAAGTACTCTAAGTCTTTTCTTAGGGTCTCTTCCAAAGTTTTCCTAGGTCTTCCTCTACCTCTTCGGCCCCGAACCTCTGTCTCGTAGTCACATCTTCGAACCAGAGTGTTAGTAGGCCTTCTTTGCACATGTCCAAACCACCGTAACCGATTTTCTCTCATCTTTCCTTCAATTTCGGCTACTCCTACTTTACCTCAGATATCCTCATTCCTAATCTTATCCTTTCTTGTGTGCCCACACATCCAACGAAGCATCCTCATCTCCGCTACACCCATTTTGTGTGCGTGTTGATGCTTCACCGCCCAACATTCTGTGCCATACAGCATCGCCGGCCTTATTGCTGTCCTATAAAATTTTCCCTTGAGTTTCAGTGACCTACGACGGTCACACAACACACCGGATGCACTCTTCCACTGCATCCATCCAACTTGTATTCTATGATTGAGATCTCCATCTAATTCTCCGTTATTTTGCAAGATAGATCCTAGGTAGTGAAAACGGTCGCTCTTTGATATTTCCTGATCTCCGATCCTCACCCCTAACTCATTTTGGCCTTCATTTGCACTGAACTAGCACTCCATATATTCTGTGTTTGATCGGCTTAGGCGAAGACCTTTAGATTCCAACACTTCACTCCAAAGGTTAAGCTTCGCAGTTACCCCTTCCTGAGTTTCATCTATCAACACTATATCGTTTGCGAAAAGCATACACCAAGGAATATCATCTTGAATTTGTCCTATTAACTCATCCATTACCAACGCAAAAAGGTAAGGACTTAAGGATTGTTGATGCACAAAATCAGTGAGGACTTTGGTACAACAGAAAGTATTAAGTTTGTGATATTCGCTAGATTGCTCCGGTCATTAGTGTGGATAAGTATGTAAATGGATAGAGACAGGAAAGCAAACACAAGATGTACGTGGTTCACCCAGATTGGCTATGTCCACGGAGTAGAGGAGTTCTCATTAATTGTGAAGGGTTTACACAAGTACATAGGTTTAAACTCTCCTTTAGTGAGTACAAGTGAATGATTTAGTATAAATGACATTAGGAAATATTGTGGGAGAATGATCTCGTAATCACGAAACTTCTAAGTACCGAAGTGTGGTATCGTCTTCACTTGCCTTATTTGTCTTATAGGTAGATGTGACATCTTCTCTCGGAGTACTCTTCCTCCATCCAGGGGTGGTATCTTTAACTGGGGGAGATGCACAAGGTAATGTGTCAATTTCACTTGAAGCTTACTTGTAGTTTCAGGCTTGGTCAAGCGCGATACAAACCATGTAGTAGGAGTCCCCAAGTCGCCGAGCTAGGGGATCTGCTGAAAGAGGTGACAGACAAGGTAAGCAATCAGAGCTCCAAGCAATCAGTCCCAGATCAGAAGTTTGATTTTGAGTTCAGGCTGATTGTTCTCATTCTCCCTATCTTGCAGGCAGCATGAAGGATAAAGAGAAGAAAAGGAGAAGAGATGATATGAGATACTTTTGCTTTTGAAGAAGTAACTTTCCACAGGCTTATTCTTGAACTGGGCTGGAGGGTTTTCTGGTTTCCTCCAGAGTATAAGGCCGACTGAAGAATTTAAGGGTCAAAACAAGTCCATCAAATCTAGAGTATGTTCGACCCTGCTGATATGGGATACTTTTGTTGTTGACAAAGTAGTGGATGTATCGGCTCGTGTTCTGTTACGCTTGTCTCCACATGCTTCCTTGTATCCTTCTCACTTGCCCTATCTGTTCCTCAGACATATGTGGTATCTTCTCTGGAAGCATAAGATGTTGATGATGAGTACTCGAGAGCAATGCCAGGTAAGTAATCAGGTAAGGGGTTCCAGGCAGTCAGTTCCTGACTGGAAGCTTGATTCCAAGTGCTGACTGATTGCTTTATTTCTCCTTGTCTTGCAGGTAAGAACAAGGCCAAAGGAAAAGACAGGGAAAAAGTATGATATGGGATACTCTTGCTTTTAACCCTGATGATATGAGATATTCTTGCTCTGGTGTAGCTTGTTTGCAGAGATATTATCGGGGGGAAAGAAAGCTAAGTATTTCGAGAGGCTTCGTTGGGAGTGCCCTCTCAGATATGAGGAAGGGTTGAGCATTTTTGCAGGTCTGCCTGTTCGTTGAAGATGGAGGTCGACATATATAGGAGTCTCCCTAACAACAAGTAGTAATGCTATTCCTTTACCTTGCTTGGTTATAGTACGGTAGTGGGAGCTGCCAACTTCACGTGTTTTAACTCTGTCATAGCACTTTGAAAAAGTGGTATGTGGTATCTGGAAAACTGATGTTGCATGTGAAGATTACAGACAAGCTTTATCCAAGGAGATATGGTAGCTAGACCTTCAAAAAATTATGTGTCTAAACTTTGTTAGTGCTGTTTCTTTGCTATTCTTTTACCCTTCTTGGTTATAGCAATGTAGTGGGTGCTGCAAGCTTCACGTGTCTAAACTTTGTCAGAGATCTTTGGCAAAGTTATCTGTGGTACCTATGAGCTGATGTTGCGTGTGGAAAGTGGATGATTGAACAGTAAGATTCACGTGCTTTCTACTTCACCAGAAATCTTCGACAGAATGCCCGTAGTTTTCGCAAAGCTAAGTGTGCATGTGACAGGTGCTGACAAGGCTGAAAAAGCAGGTGCCTCTTCGATTTCTAAGATCGGCCCTCGTGGTCTCTGAGCAGCCCAGCTTTTGAGAAAACAAGCGCCTCTTCGATTTCTGAGATCGGCCTTCGTGGTCTTTAAGCAGCCTAGCTTTTGAGAAAGCAAACGCCTCTTCGATTTTTGAGATCGGCCCTCGTGGTCTCTGAGCAGCCCAGCTTTTGAGAAAGCAAACGCTTTTTCGATTTCTGAGACTGACCCTCGTGGTCTCTGAGCAGCCCAGCTTTTGAAAAAGCAAACGCTTTTTCGATTTCTGAGCAGGCGCCTCTTTGATTTCTGAAGCTCCGTCGAGTGCAGATTTTTATAGAGGCTAGCATTAAGTTCGAAAGCACACTTGAATCTCCACCAGTAGAAACTCCCTTCTTGCACTTCTAAGATTTTGATTCGTCCAACCTCTTCTCTCTTCAACACCTTTGAAAATGTTTGGCCCCTCCGACCGTCGTTTTGACTTGAACCTTGTTGAAGAGGCAGCCATGCCTTCTCCAGACAACATATGGCGCCCATCCTTCTTATCCCCTACTGGTCCTTTTACCGTTGGGGATTCCGTGATGAAGAATGATATGACCGCTGCGGTGGTGGCCAGGAACCTTTTCACTCTCAAAGATAACATACTACTTTCCAAACAGTCTGATGAGTTAGCTGTTAAGGATTCTCTGGCTCTCAGTGTTCAGTGTGCAGGTTCTGTGTCTAATATGGCCTAACGTCTATTTGCTCGAACCCGCCAAGTTGAATCATTGGCGGCTGAAGTGATGAGTCTCAAACAGGAGATTAGAGGGCTAAAACATGAGAATAAACAGTTGCACCGGTTCGCACATGACTATGCTACAAACATGAAGAGGAAGCTTGACCAGATGAAGGAATCTGATGGTCAGGTTTTACTTGATCATCAGAGGTTTGTGGGTTTGTTCCAAAGGCATTTATTGCCTTCGTCTTCTGGGGCTGTACCGCGTAATGAAGCTCCAAATGATCAACCTCCGATGCCTCCTCCTTTTAGGGTTCTGTCCAGTACTGAGGCTCCGAATGATCCCCCTCCGGTGCCTTCTCTTTCTGGGGCTCTACCGACTGCTGAGACTTCTCCTAAGCAACCTTTGTGAAGGCTCCCTGTTGTTTGTTTATTTTGACTCATGTATATGTACATATTTGTAACTTATCGGAGATATCAATAAATAAGCTTTGCTTCATTTCAATGTATTGTGTTAAATACACCAAAGCCTTCTTCACTAAGTTCTTTGAATTTTTCTTTTATTGAAGCTTGTATGTTGAAGCTTTGTGAGTGGAGCATGTAGGTTGAGGTAGCGTTCCCTTAATTTCTCGAGTGAGGAAAACTTCTCGGTTGGAGATTTGAAAAATCCAAGTCACTGAGTGGGGTCGGCTATATGAATCTTAGAACGCCATTGTGCGAAGCATGCATTGACGATAAATAATTAAAACATGAGAGGCATTCATTTGAAACCACTGTCAAATATATGCATTTTTACAAATAACCATACTTGCTGTACAAGTTATTCAAATCAAGAACGTCTTTGAACTTATCCTTAAAAACTAAGGGACCCGCACTTCAAAACTCTTCAGAACAAGAAACTCAGACACTCTATGCAACCAGCTCACCGGCATACACTCTTTTCATTATAAAAAGATACACCCCATGTAGTACAAACCTTTCGTTGCGCCGCACTTTTTTCCCTCGTTTATAGCATGTAATGCATAGGTAAAACCTTCTGAATAGAGGTCGTCAAGAAACTGTTAGCATGCACTTCACCAACTTTTAGAGCAAAAGGAAATGCAACATCATTCTTCGGGCTGAAATAAAGTGAAAGTTGAACTTGTCTCCATCTTTGTAATCTGCATTACTAAGTATTGGCTTATTATTTCTCATGGAATCAGAACACAAGAAAACAAAAGGAGAGAGATTCTTGAACTGAAAATACCAACCTCATTCGTACAAGAAATTACAGA